AAATTACATCATTCATATCTTTTCATTTTTACTACTTGGATATTAATTAGAAATAATTCTTATACTCGAGCACATATTTTGATATTTACAAATACTACAATAATACAATTATTAGACTTTAATTGTACCAAATTAAAAAGTACATAAATATCTTTAAAATCTACTATATTTCAATTATCCATTATTATTACCTGTTTCCACGTCCCATTCTCAATCGGATTAAAATGATCCAAATTCTGTTCAAACCATTGCTCGGGTGGCAAATGTTTATGATGTCTCCTCAAATGGGGGCTCCCCAAACTGCCTCCAGCTTTAAAAACATTCCACCTGAGTCCATTAACAAATCCACTTAAAAATACAAAAAACACAATTAGTTTCAACATTTTTACATGTGCCTTCTTCGAATGTTTTTTGTAGAATGAAAGGAAATACGTTTGATGTTATTTGAGATGAGTAATGGATATTCTGAAAGTACAGAATATGCTGATGTTTATGTTTATTTATCTGCAAATGTTATCAGTTGACATTGGAGTCTTTGTGAGATACTGTTTTGATTGTGTTGGTGGAGACAATTTGAGGTTATGGTAGAAAAAATAGGATTTGTTTGGGTTAAGGAATTTTTGCACAGTAGTTCTTGTTTTGGGGTGTTTATGTATGCACTTTTTTCAACCACATATTGTTTATATCACCATTATTGAATTAAATTGTACTTGTATAACATTTTTCATGAATACAAATCAAGGATTCATCAAACTGTCAAAATGTTGTAAATCCTTCAACAAATATCTCATTCACTATAACTTATATTATTATTCCTTTACACTTATTATTAACACATTTCTTCAATTAATTACACTTATAACGACACAAAGTTATTAAAAGTTTATTTTATCTATATAAAGATGTTTTAAATATGTCTCCTTAAAGCCGGATCCTGTTCGGACATGTTCGTTCGTGTTCGGTTCGTTACGCCTTGCGTTGACCAATCACAAACGAGGATAATAGTGGTGGGCAAATGTACATAATTCGTTTCGACAGTTGGGTTTTAAAATACAAATTTGTTAAGAAAATTAATATAGATATATATATATATATATATATATGTTAATTATTAAATATTTTGTTATATATTGTGATAAAGTTTAAGGTATTTTTTTCATTAAATATAGTTTTATAATGAATTAATTAAATTAATATATATATTGTTATATATGTACTAAATCTAAATATTATCTATTTGATTTTTGATACACATATTTTTGATAAAATTAATTTTGTAATTAATTAAATTTTTGATAATATATATTAAATTACTAAAAAGCTAATAAAATTGCCTACAAATAAGTATGGAATGTTTAGTACACTTTGTGTTCAAAATTAAATAAAGAAATTGTGCAAAATTTATAGTTTAATTAGGCAATGGACTCATTAGTTAATTTTTTTATAATTAGTATTGTTCTGGTAAAATTCATCTTCATACATATAGATTAATATATATCATTAAAAAGTAGATAAAATTATCTATAAATCTGTATATAACAATTTGTAACTGTCGGAATAAAATGATATAAAAATAATTCGTCAAGCTTTGAAATTAAAATCATCCTAAAGCTCCCATATTGATTTTGTTTCATCGCTTTGGTTTAAACTTATATTTATTTTGCTTAAATTCATTTAAATATATTAACATTATTATATATCATTAAAAAGCTAATAAAATTATCTATGAAGCTGTATATAATATGTTAAATCATTTGGAACGGAATTATATTAAAAAAAAATTGTTTACATAATATGTACTATTGATAAGATGTCTGCTTTTCTAGTTTATATTTCTATCAATTTTTTAAATAATTTGTTCAAACATGTATATATTATTATGTATCATTAAAAAGTAGATAAAATTATATATAAATCTGTATATAACAATTTGTAACAGGTGGAACAAAATTATATAAAAATAATTCATTAAACTTTAAAATTGAATTCATTGTAAGACCCTCATATTGTTTTAGCTTCAACTTAGTTGGTTTATATTTATATTTAATTTGTCAAAATTAAATTAAATATTAACATTATTAATTCGATACGATTCAGGATTATGTATTGCTTAAAGATTTTTTCATCTTAATAATAAACATCCCGAAAGATCTTCCCTTGCTGGCCTATTAAAAGATTTCTACAAATACAATATGTCAAGTAGACATTGTACATTTGAAAGGTGAATTAATTAAATAAATTTAAACGTTGAAAAACATTGTTCTTTTAGCACACTTTTCCAAATAATTTGCATAATAAAAAAAGTAACCAAAAAGATAAGATACCAAAATACTTTTGTATAAACAAGATTAATAGATTAACCTAATTTATGAGGATTGTCTTTCTGTATATATAAGTGTACTAATTTTAAAAAATTTGATAGCAAATTTTAATTTTTGCAAATTTAGTACACAATTTTAACAAAATAATAACTGACAAAGCAATAAAATGAAATAAAATAGAATAAAATATTTCATTTATTTACTATGGTTTATATAGTAAATAATTACTAGTAGTATTTAATTCTCAAAAAATTGGCTTACACCTTGCTCTATAAAATTAACCAAAAAATGAGAACATTTAAAAATAGATTGTTTGCATTCCAAAATAAATTTATCTCAATACAGATTGAACTATTTTAGTTAATAGTTTAAAAGTATTTATAGTTAATTATTTATATAACCCATTGCAATTATAAACCAAGTGAATCAAAACTTACAATTATCAGTAATAATAATTACTAATTTATATATGTGAAAATTAAACTTTAAAGGAAAATTTGATTTGTTAAATTAATTTAATAAAATTAAAATATTTTAAATAATGCATAAGAATATATAAATCATTACACACCTAATATGTGTAATAAATATATTTAAGATGAGGTTTTTGAATATTTTTGGTACTGTAAATATATATATATATATATATATATATAATTTAATAAATATAAAATATATATAATATATATAATATATATGTACTATAGGGATTCAGGATTTGGGTTAAGAAATTAATAAAAACCCTATTGCATATTTTTAGCTTTTATTTAACTGCACCAAAAAAAAGATACAAAACCAATCGTAAACCCCTTCTGGTAACAGTTCAGATATATATAAAAATGTTTATCGGTTAGACTTGGCTACTCTTTCTAACTCATCTTTCTTCTTAATGGCGTATGAATTTGATGATCCCTGCAAAAAAAGAAAAATATATATTAAAACCTCAATTTATGAAAAATTGATAGTAAAACTATATATAAAAATTATTTGTTACAATTTAAAATAAGCTTGCTTAAGAAGAAACTAGTATACTTAAGTACAAGTAAATTTGAAGAAAATCTTTGGTTTTAAACAATATGTATTATGATTAAGTAATGAAATTCTAATTTTAGTTTCATTGTAATAATCAAAAAATACTTTTTATTAAAGCGGTACAGATTTAAAAAAGTGTGTAATGTTGGGAGTGAAAATTAACGACATAACCTAGCTTAACCTAAATTGAGTGTAAAATTGTAATCATTTACTATTTATAAAAAGTAAACATAATACTCTTTATTAAACTAGTATAAGTAAAGAAATTTGCACAGGTACAACTTTAACTTAAAGGTTGTAAATTAAAACTATCGACATGACCTAACCTAACCTACACATACCCATGAGGTAAATATATATACGAAGTACGACTTAAGCAACCTTAATTTTTATAAATGTTAGTAATAAGTTAATTGTATTGTTTTTACACGTTCCAAGAAAAGTGGTTATTCAATTAGAACCACATTCTAGGATAGAGTGCAAAATTTTAATATAGTCCATAAGCGAAACTGAAATGGCTCTAGGAGACACCAAGTCAGCATTTGAAAGGACAGCTGAAACTAAAATTAGCAATTTAACTATCTACTGTAATTTTTTGTATTGAACTCTTATCCGTAAAAAAAACTCAACTAACAAAGTAATTTAAAAAAAGAACTCTACTAACAAGCAAATTTGAGAATAAAATTAAAGATAGATGACTACAAGTTCAGAAAAAATGTTATATTTACAAAGAACTACTGAAAAATTTGGATAAAATTGGAATCAGATTAGAATGATTCTACTGACAAGCTAAAAATAGTTTTTTTTTGACTGTTGAGCAAAAACAATTTTTGGAAAAAGAAAGGCTACTAATGAGCAAATTAAAAAATTTGCTAGAAATTTAAGATAAAAACCGCTACTGACGAGCGAATTCAGAAAACATTCATAAAAAAAATTAAAAAGAACCCTTCTCCAAACGAATAATTTCTAAATTTGCTTGTTAGTAAAGAAACAAATTTGGAAATTATTGATTTGAAGAAAAAAAGAACTCTACTGATGAGCAAATTTAATTAATTTGAAGAAAAAAAGAACTTTACTGATGAACAAATTCGGAAATTTGTAATTTGGAAGAAGAGCTCTAATGACAAGGAAAGTAATCAAAATTCCTAATTTGGGAAAAAAAAATCTACTGACGAGTGATTTTGAAAATGTAAGAAAAATGTAGAACTCTATTGACAAGGCAATTCAAAAATTGCTAATAAAAAAAAATAGAAAAAAGAAAAAAACTGACAAGCCAAATTCGAGAATTTGAAAATTTAAGAGAAAAAACTCTTAAAGCAAATGTAGTAAAATTTGGTTTGCAAAAAAAAAGACTAGCAAATTCAGATATAATTTTGAAAAAAAGAACTCTGATGAGTAAATTCAAAAATTATTAGCAAAATGTCAATAAAAATAGCACTGTACTTACAAGCAAATTCAAATAAAAACTAACCAAAAAAAATCTGAAATTTTTAGTTTGGAAGGAAGAACTCTATTGACAAGCAAATTTGGAATTTATTGGTTTGGAATAAATAACTCTACTGAGAAGTAAATTCATAAAAATAAAACCTCACTGATGAGTCAATTCACCAATTAATTGATCATTAAAATTAAAATTAAATAATAAAGAATTCATAAATAAAATTAATTTTCTTAAATTAATTTAAGAAAAACTTCAATGACAAGCAAATGTATCTAATTTGAAGAAAAAAAGAACTGTACTGAAGAACAAATTATTTCCGAAACTGCTTGTCAGTAGAATTTATTTTTCCAAAGAAAAAACTGAATTTTTGATGAATTTGAAAAAAGCACTCTGCTGATGAGTGAATTTGGAAATTATTTCGATTTTATCTGTTATATCTTAATTTCCATTGTTCTCTTGTCTCTATCACATTCAAGATATTTATTTTTATCTCTGTTCCATTTTATCTTTAAGTTTTTCATATTTATTCATGTTTTTCATATTTACTATCTTTATGCTTTTGTAGATAGAGATTGAAACAAATCTTTTC